TCCAAGGACCAGTCTCTCCTGGCCACATGGCCAAAGTATATGAGATGGAGCTTCAAACATCCTAGCTTCCAAGGAGAAACTTGGTCTCACCCTTTCCAAAACTGACCTATTGGTTTTCTTGGCAGTCCACGGTATGTTCAAGACTCTTCTCCAGCACCACAATCCAAAGACATCAATTCTTCTTCTGTCATCCTTAGTCATTGTCCAGCTCTCTGATGCATAGCAAGTAATTGTGAAGACCGTGGTCTGAATTAGATGCACCCGAGTCACTAGACTGACATAGTTGTTTCTCAGAACTCTGGAGAGGTCCCTGACAGCAGATTTTCTCAATGCAATTTGTCTTTTGATTTCTGGACTGCTGGTGCTAAGACTGCTGATTGTGTCATCTGCATTTACAGTTATTCTAATAGTGACTGTCATATGATGTAGCCATTGAACAGACTGCCTGATTCAAATCTATTTTATTAGTCAAATCAAGTTTCCAGTTCCCAAGGCTTTTGGATTTGAAAAAGTAAATTAACCTAGGCATATATATTTACTTCTCAAGAGACATGTAATAACCGGCATAAATCTTCTTTTATTATTATTATTAATATTATTAATCATTATTATCAACACTGTGTTTAAAAATTGTATTTTTATCTATTACTGAAAAAATTTAAAAAAAAAAAACCCAGAACTAGAAAAAGGTTTATATATGAAAACAAAAAAAAAATCAGTATTCCTGGCGGACATGTCTGACCTCATGGGAATTGGTTGTGTGCTAAGGATGCTGTTAGAGGGATAGCTCTACCTTGTGGAGTTAGCCAAGGTCAGATATGGGCATCCCCATGTGCGCCTTGCTCTTTTTACACAAAGTGTAATGAAGATTTGATGAGACATTGTTACAAAAGTAATTGATAACTATAATTAATGTTATAAAATAAAGTATACATGAATAATTGAATGAAAAGTCATCAAATAAAAGAAAATATCCGATTATTCAACTAAAGAAGAAAAAAAAAACCTCTTGAATGCTTACTATGTGTGCTAAGCAACAACTTCGTACTTGAGATACCAACCAGATGATGACAATTACTAAAGAAGTTACCCTTGTGCAAAAAAGGAAAATAAACTTTGAGGAGTTCAAGGAACTTTTCAAAGTTATAACACTTGTCATTAACCAAGCCTGATGTAGAACCAGTAACTTCTCCCAAAAGAGCATATTTTTAACTTTTATTCTATACTTCCTTTTGAATATGTCTCAATTATATTCTATGTGAAATGAATTAATTGACACATGAAATGAGAGAACTGACAACCAGATTTTCTCCATCTATCCTGATGTTTCCTACTAGTCCTATAGTAATGATTTTTATTTTATTTAAGCTGAGGCATTACATAATTGAAGGCTTTTATTTTCTTTAGATCAATATTTAATTTTCAGTATTAAAATATGGAAAACAGCAAAAGTAGTAGTTTCACAATTACTCTTACAAATAATTTTTAAAAACATTATTATGACTGCCATCAATTAACATTCTTTTAAAACAAATTAGATTAAGAATTCTAAATCAAGGTCTTTATGAAAATTCAATCTATATTTTCCCACATTTCAAATTTAAACACTGTATGTTTTAACATTTAATTATTATTCCAACATTCACCCTTTTTATTTGTAGGCAGCATCAAAGTGTAATTTTATAAATTAATCCAAATGATTAATGGTCCAAGTAAACCACAGCATCCACTATTCCATGATAAAAAGAACTGGATGATGCTTGGGTTTTTCCTGCTCCAATATAAAGCACAGAAAGCTCAGGATTGAATGGGAGAAAATTAAAAAAGACTTACTGGTTTGAGAAAAAACTGGCGGGACACTAGAGACTACGGCACTTAGACATCCTTTTAACCCGGAATTGAGCCCACTCACAGGTCTTTGCAGCCAAATCAATAAGCAGACCTGTGCAATGAACAGAAATGTTTGTGAGAAATGTATTACACAGAAGTACATGAGATAAAAAGCATAGCATTATCCCAGCAACAAAGCTCAGAAGGCAAGGAATGAGTGACCGGAAACAGGAAACCCAGAGAGAAAAGTGCCGAAACTTGGAAAGAATTGCAGTTCCTCTTATGTAGCAAAAGAAGGTGTTTGTTGTTGAATGGAAAACTAATTTGTGTGTCAACTTTCTTTTTTTTAATTATTATTAAATTTTATTAGTTTTAATGAATATTTTGTGTGTCAACTTTCAACCAAACTTTGAGCAAATACTTTGTCACTAAAAAGAAAGTATTTTGTCTTCTCACATACTATTTCTAAGTGAATTGAAAGCCTTATTATATCAGTTGATAGTAAATTAAAAGTAGAATTTTTTATTTTTAACTTTAAAATGCTTAATAATACCCTCACCTGAGAAGATGAAAATGTACCTATGTGTATGGAAAAGGCATTATTGTGCTCCCTCTTGTGGCCTGATGTAGAAGATGCATCCAATTTATACGTGCTCCATTTTCCCCCTGGTTGCTGCCTTTAGGGAGTTGGCTGCTAATGTAAGCATCCTGCCTCTCTAGTGGTTCGAATCCAACAATGACTCCCCAGGATAAAGATAGGTAATCTTCTTCTGTGAAATTTACAGCCTAGGAAATGCAATGGGAGGTCAGCTAGCACTTGTTCTGATTCTATGGCAATGTGCTGCCAACCCAAAGGTATGCAGTTCAAACCCACAAGCTGTTCCTTAGAGAAAGATAGGCTGTCTCCTCCCATATAATTTACTGCCTGGAAACCACTGAAGGGTCAGCTATGGGTCACTTCCAACTCTAAAGTACAAACAACAGCTACATCAAATGAGCTTTGAGTTTTGATCCACATTTATTTTTACACTTACTTCAGAATTGCTAATCACCATCATTATCACAGAGGTGATAAACTGGTGGAGAAGAAATGGATTATTTTAGATAGTAAGTGAGAAGACAATGGGGGTTGATGTGGTATTAGTGAGACTGGCTCAGGAAACTTCAGGGTTCAGAGCTGCTGTACATAGGGTCACTGTGGGTCATAGGCAACTTAACAGCACATAACAACAACAACAAAGTGAGAAAGAAACATGGTAGAAAAAAGTTTAAGTTCCAGAAGTGATATTTTCAAAGCCTAGAATAAAGCCTATTGCATCAAGTAAGATTGATATAAAACAACTTCAATTACATTTTTGGTTTTGGGTTTTTTTGTATGTTCTGTATTCTTTTGGAGGGAAGAAAAATATTGAGATAAGACAAGAAAGAGGTTCAAGAGAGGATTAAGGAGGCACCATGGATCAACCATAATTATTGTCAGACATAAATGTTTAAGAGGAAAGTTTTCTTCGTTTTTACTGAGCAAATTACTTTTTAAAAATTCTGGCTGTTGAATGTAGTAAATCAAATACAGCCCCTTCTGAAATAGCAAAAGATACCTTTATAAAATTGACAAAGCTCAACTTGAATTTATTATGTGTGTTTTATTCCTATTAATACAATGATCTTTATCATTTACCTACACTCCAGATTATAGTGAAATGAAGTATATCACTATTTTACTGAAGTTATTAAAAAGACAAAAGCTGTTAATAGTCTGCCAATAAGCAAATTGCAATATTAAAAATGCAATGTATTATTAGATTGGCTGTAAAATCTTTTCTTTATAGTGTTAGTGAATAAGGTGAGACATTTGAATTGTGATGCTGGCAAAGAATATTGAATGTACTATGAAGTGCCAGGAGAACAAACAGATGTGCTTTGAAGAAAGTGCAACAAGGATGTTTCTTGCAGGAAAAGATGGCAAGCATTTTCTCATATACTTTGGGCAGATTATTAGAAGGGACCAATCTTTGTTGAAGGACATAATGCTTCTTAAATAGGCTCTTAAAACTCGTTACCGAATCTGAGCAAATCCATAGTTGACTCTCTAGAGGCTTATCGGAGGCAGAACAGGTGATGGATTTCAATTACCCAACTTTGGGTTGGCAGCACAACTCTTAGCCGACTAGACCAGGCTACCTCAGCCCTCTTGGTCATGTTGTTGTTAAGTGCTGTTGAGCTGAGTATGGCTCATAGTGACCCCTGAAAAGCTGACTTCCACTATCCTGTGCCATCCTCATCATCTCTGAGCCCTTTGACACACTAGAGCCCACTGCTGAAGTCACCATGTCAATCTGTCTCTTTGGAGGTCTTCCTCTCCTTTGCTATTTTTCAAGCATGATGTCCCCCCCTCCCTTTCTCAGGAATAGCCTCACTTATCTACATGTTCAAACTATGGAAGAAAAAGCTTTACCATCTTTCTTCCAAGGAGCACTCTGGCTGCACTTTTCCCCAAGACATACCTGTACTCCTAACACTACAATTCAAAGGCATCAGTTCTTTTCCTGCCATCCTTATTCACCTGTCCAACACTCTGATGCAAAGCAGGTTATTTAGAAGAACCAGACACCTCTGTCTTCAGACAGCCATAATTGAAACACTTGCTGCAGGAGATCAGGGGCTACAGTCTTTGGTAAGGATTACATTTTTAACGTCAAAGTAGCAAAGGTGTCGTGACAGTATGAGATGGAACTGTTAATGACTTTTTCTTGCTTGGATTAACAATCAACACCCTTGGTACTAGCAGTCAGTAAATCAGGAGAGGTATTGCTTTGGGCAAGTCAGCTGTCAGGGACCTCACCAAACTGCTGAAGAACAAAAAGATCAAGGAGAGGGTCAGCTAAAATAGAGGAAGGCCATCAATGAAATGGGTTATTAAAGCGACCACTCAGTTAAATAGAACCAGTCACAGAAATGATTTTAAGGATGACACAGGGACACTGTTTCCTTGTCACAAGAGTGATCTCTGGAAGTTTGAAGCAACTAGATAATAACTAACAACAACATAGACCTTTTAGATAAAGGAATGTTACCCTCTTATTACTTAACAATTGTTTCCCTATTTTAATTGTTAAAAAGAATACTTCAGGCTTGGGTTGTTGTGTATTTTTTTTTTCTCTTAATTACAGATCATGTGCATTTTAGAAGCCTTTGGACATGCCAAGACAACTGTCAATGATATATCCAGTTGCTTCATAAAGTATTTTGAACTGCAATTCTGTGAGAGGCAGAAATATTTAACTGGAGGTAAGTATATATAATTCACAGAATTGAGTTTTTATGTGATACCATGAGAAGCATAGAAACATTTAAGAGGAACTTTAATAAGAATTTCAGTTTTAGTAAATTTTCACTAGACTGTTCTCAATATAGCCTTTCTATAAAAAAAAAAAGACAAATATAATCTAAAGATGAAAAAAACCTTATTGATGCACTAACAAACTTCTCATGATGGTTCTTGAAAATGATCTCTATTGGAATAACTGATGTGTGGGCATGTTTATATTATACCTGAGATAGGAGGTTATAAATTCACAAATGATTGTAAATTAAAAATCATCTTAACACACAAGATGAGTTTTTTCATTATTAGTGTTACATAAGAGTGAAATAGTAAGTAAAGCAAAGCCAAAAATATCTGAAATGAGTCATATTTGCTGAACTTTGTAACTAACTTCAATACTCAATTTGTTATTCCTAGAATAAATAAATTCCTCATATGACATACTTGAACATTTACTTTAAATAAAATGAAATGTATAATTAAAATGATTAACTTACATTTTAAAAAAATCTAGATGAGCACTGAACTAAAGTAAATTAAAAACATTTCTCATTTAAATATTTCACATGTACTTTATACTATTGTTGTTGATTGTTGTTGAGTTAAGCAAGACTCATACAACATCTTTGAAAACTGCTTAATTCATCTAATTGAGAATTCACAAAGAATGGTAGATGTTTCAAATCAGAACAGATTATCTAGGCAAATAAATAAGAAAAAGAAAATTTTGTGTGTTAAGTCTAAATATATATATAGTTGTTCCTGGTTTGGCTAGCGCCTTCCCAGGCTCATGAGAAGCTCTCCTTGCCAGAAGGCAGGAGCGTGGTGGTGGGAGTGCAGGAATCAAGCTTTTGGAGTGGACTGCTTTTCCGGGAATGTGTTTGACATGCAGGTTTGCTATGTCCCTGGAGTGAGGCTAGCCAGCCTGGGCCTAGGTTTTGAAACAGGAGGCGGCCTTAAGCCCAAAGGGCCCTTGGGTCTGTCAAACATTCTTCCAGGTGGTATAGCACTGGTCTGTGGGTTGCTGTACAGAGGTAACTCGTGGTTGCTGTGATGCTGAAGCCTGTGACAGTGATGTGCCAATCGTGGTAATGGGCACCCATGGTGGACAGTGTTGACTGGAGCTTCCTGACTAAATCAAGCCTGGAAGCAGGAGCGGCATCCGCTTCCAAAATGGCTTGCCTCTGGAAACTCTTTGTACGAACAGTGTTCAGGCTGTTCGTTCATAGGGTCACTATGAGTCGTCTACGACTCGACGGCATTAAACAACAACAACAACATAAATATATATACGTAAAATTTGTGAATATTCATAAGTACAAAAAACAAATCCTTTCAAACTTTGAGGCCCCTCAACCTCAATTTTATTTGACGTTTTAAAGTTAGCCACCTCAGAAGAAAGTAATATAAGCATCTTTCTTCTTTAGAAGTTTAGCTATAATCTAGAAACAAAAATGGTGTGTTTTGTAATAAATTTATGTCAAAAATTTAAAAAAGATTTCTGAGCCTTAGTTGACCCCAGGGCACCTGATAACAACAACAAATTGAAATTTGACAAAAAAAAATATTGCAGAAAAGGGATTAGAAAAGAGTGAAATCAGCAGTTTAAATTCTGCAATAGGCAGATTTTCTCAAACACCCCCCCCCCAAACCCCTCAACCAAACACCAGTCATGGTATAGAGTCCTAGCCCAAGGTTTATCTATTCAAGACCTCGTAGTAGAGATATTCTTGAGCCCTAAACTTTGCTTTGAAAGTTCTGAAAAGTGCTTGCAAAGTCCTTTCAAGTCTTAGTAAGGTCCTTTTGAAGTCTTTTCAAGCCATTTAAAATTAAGAATGACTTTTTAGGAAAGATATTTAGTCCAATCTTACATCTTTTATTATGAGCAGAATTTCCTGTCTGAGCTTTACATGACTGTCAGGCTATAGCTTTTGTAGCTAGGTATACAAGAAACATTTCAAAGATAAGAAAGAGTGGTCATTTCTGCAGCACATATACTAATCTTGGACTGATGCAGAGAAGTTGGCTCCTGCACAAGCATGACAAGACAAGCAAATTTGTCAAGCATTCCATATTTTTAATTCTTCACAAAAAAAAGGACATTCAGACGGCCAACAAATAGATTAAGAAATGTTCAGTTACTGGCAATAGCTCTGAACCCTGCTCTGTCTTGAGCCAGTCTCACTGACTCTGACACACCTATTCCCATTACCCCAGTTACTGTGTCAATCTATCTCATCCTCTGTCTTCCTCTCCTGCACTGTCCCTCCACCAAGAATGGTGCCTTCTTCAAGGACTGGTCCCTCCTGGATACATGCCTTCTGGCTACAAAGCTTCAAAATCCTACCCTCAGACAAGAAACTTGGTTTCACCCTCTCCAGTATGGAACTGTTTGTTCTTTTTGGTGGTCCATGGTATGTTCAAGACTCTGCTCCAGCACTACAACTCAAAGGCATTGATTCTTCTTCTATCATTCTTATTAATTGTCCAGCTCTCTGATGCATAGCAAGTAATTATGGTCCAAATCAGTTGTACCTTAGTCCGTAGACTGACATCATTACTCATTAGCACTTTAGAGAGGCTCCTGATAGCAGACTTCCCCAGTGCAATTCATCTTTTGATTTCCTGACTGCTGGTACTAAGACTTCAATCTTTTCTCCATCTATCGCAGTGCTGCCAATTGGACTAGTGGTGAGACTCTTTGTTTTCTTGATGTTGAGCTTCAATCCATATTGAAGACTATAGTCTTTGACTTCCTTCTCACCCATGTGACAATACTGGAGAGGATGTGGAGAGATTGGAACTCTCATACTGTCAGGATTTTAAAATTGTACCATTTTGGTTTTTTTTTTAATTTTTTTTTCTATAATTATATTTTATTAATTTTCATAAACATTTACAGAGATTTTGGGCTTCCACTCATTCATTGTTGCACTATTCTCTCTACCCTCCTCCCAGTTTGTTCTTGTCCAAATGCCACAGTGCTTGTCAAAGCCAGTTCTGATTAATCTTCTTTGTCAGTGTATCCTTTGCCATTCCCTATCACTCCTCCCTGAGAGAGACTTCACCCTGAGTCATAAGGAAAAAGGGATGGCGTATTCTATAAGCTACTTCCTGCTGAAAAGGGACGCTGTGGGTTTCAGGGTGAAGATCTTCTCTCACTACTCTAAGGGTCCCCTTTGGCAGTAGGAAACACATAGACTATTATGGAGATTGATTTTGGAATTCAGATGCACTCTTATTGATTGTGCTTGGCTGTACATGTACATATCCTTGAAGATGTATCATGGGGGTGTTGCAACCTAGAAGACACAAATTTGACTAACAAGTTATAAGTACATGAGTCCAAAAATTAAAATTGTACCATTTTGGAAGGGTCTGTTTCCTCAAAAAGCTATACATAGATTATCTCATCAGACCTAACCATTCCACTGTAGGGAATAAACTCCAAGGAAATCAGAGCTGAGATACAAACAGATTTGTACACCTATTTTCATAGCAACATTATTCATAATATCAAGAAAATGAAAACATCTCAAATACTCATCAACAAACAAATAGAAAAACTATGATATATTCATACAATGGAATACTATGCAGCACTAAAGAACAAGAAAATATTTATATAGTATGATACGGTATGGGAGAATGTAGAGAGCATTATGTTGAGTGAAAAAGCTCAGTCACAAAAGGACAGATATTGCATAAGACCAGTACTGAAACAATAGGAGGGTAACTGAGGGGAAAGGGGGAAAATAGATAATGAGTAGACAAAGAACACTACAAAGAACAAGAGGATCCACCTGGGAAGCCTTAATAGAATAAAAGAATACAACTTTTAAAATGGAGCGCTGGAGGCCTAGTGGTAAGAAGCTGAGTTACAATCCCAAAGGCATGCGGCTTGAGGCCACCAATTGCTCCATGGGAGAAAGATGAGCAATCTCCTACCATGTGATTAACTGCCTCTGAAAAGCCAGCAGAGGGTCAGGTATGGGTCAATTCTGACTCTATGTACACAACAACGACAGTGTCTAAAGAGCAGAAAATGGCACCTGGGGCAAAGGGCTATGAGCATTTTTCTGAAAGGCCTAGAAAGAATGACTATAGCACAGCCCCTCACCACCCCAGAGCAGAAAGCACAATAAAGAGCCTGGATCTCAGCTCCATGGTGCAGCTAGAGCCACATGAGCAGCAAGAGGTTCCTGTATTCATTGTTGACACACAGACTCTGAGTTGTGGTACAGAGACAAAGAATATCACCCAATGCAAATCCACGTTTTAGCCCAACAGTCCCAAGGTAAACGCCTTAATTAGTCCAGGTTCTGGTTTCAGTTCAGCAAGCAACTATTCCTTCCATCCAACAAAGGCAAGAGCTGCAAAACCTTTAACTACGGTAACCACAAATGCAAGTCTCAGGTCATACCTTGCAGCAGTTTCTCCACAGCAATGCCACAATCTCTCCACCACCATTCCTACCAGGGTCTCACTCTTAGCAGGGTATTACCACCTCAAGTCTTGCTGTTCAGTGTGGGAAGCTAGCACTCTCTCTCTCTCTTTCTCTCTCTCCCCCCCTTCCCCCTCACCACCTTTCCTCCCTCCCTTTTCCCCCCTCTCCCCCTCTGTTGATAATTTGCAAGACTATGTGTCTGCAGTAAAGTTAATTGGAGATCAGAGGGGGCTTAATGTAATAGCTAAAAAATAGCCAACTTTTTAGGTTAGCACTGCATACACCAATTGCAATTTGCAAACAAAACCAAGATATATCTATATATCTGTATATATCCATATCCATTTTCATATCTATCTCTATCTCTCCCACTATCCCTATATCTTATCTATATCCAATCTCTCTCTGTGTCTGTCTCTCCATCCATCTATATAATTGTTTTAAAGGGAAAGGATAGAAGGGCAAGGAAGGGGAAATTGCTAGGACAGCAGAGATTAGTGGGGGATTGGGAGTATT